TGTGCATATTTGTTCGCGTGTGTGTGTGTTCGCGCACATTGAACGTGGGGAGATGCGCGCGAACGTGCGCGGTCAGGGATGAATGACATGGTTCGCACTTCGATTCTGCTTCTGCTGCAATCGGAAACGAACAGCGCGTGAGTGGGGATGTGTGAGGAAAGTATCAAAAACGATTGCGCACATGTTGTACTCAACTGGCGAATCACGGAAGCTCGGATCGAACACGTGGCAACCAATCACGAAACACAACCTCATCTTGAGCACTTGCCACACTCGATTGATCCTGTGTGCTGTCCCAATGTCATGTCCGTCGATCTGCCCAATGGATGATCAATCGGAACACGCGGTGGCAATGTCGATACAGCGAACACATCCATCGACCAATCGCGAAACACGATGAGATCACTCGTGATCGGATGATTGATTGTGTCTGCCATGTCGACGTTATCACTCGTGTGTTCTGAGCACTCGTGATCGGATGATCGATCAGATCCATGACAATATATACACCACACACGTGATGAACCAACCCATCACGAAACACAACAATGCATGATCAGGTGATAGATGCTGTTTGCCGCCCCAACAACATCGCCGCTGATCTGCCCAATGGATGATTAACCAATGCACGAGGCGACAACGTCGGGATCGCAAACGCATCCAACCGACCAATCGCGAAACGGCAATAGATTACTTGCGATCGGACGATTGATCGTGTGTGCTGCACCGAGGATGTCGTCGCTTGTGTGTTTCGATCGTCTCAATGGCCAGGCAATGTGCGTGTGCGTGTTTCTGTGCGTCTGCGTGTGCGCGATCAACCCGTTGGCGAGCGACCTGTTTATCTAACCACCTGATAGTCCTCGACCGAATAGTCGATTGGCCAGGAAATCTGCCAGGATCAACTGATTGATCGACCGCTCTGTTGGCGATTGCTCGACTGGTTGATCAACCACCACACCAACCGCCAACCGAGCAGCCGATCAATCAGTTGATCCTGGGAGATTTCATGACCAATCGACTGTTCTGTGCACATTGATCGTGGAGAATGATCGCAGAGAATCCTCAAGGCAAATGATCATGTGCACGATCGAAACCCGCGAACGAATCACACAACCGTTCGAAAAAACGTCGATCCTGATCTGCGAACGAAAAAAAAACACTTCGTCACAATCTTGTTGCACATCGAACCTCGCATAACATCGAACCATGCTGGCCATGGAACCTAGCTCCACATCAAACCTTGGCGGGCGTCGAACCTCGTTGGACGTCGAATTTTGGAGGACATCGGGTCATCGACACTTGACGGTCACTGAACGTTGAGCAGCCACCACCCCACGCGTCGCTGGCACTGTCCTCGTGATCGGAACGTGGCCGTTCCAATCCGCCAGCGCAACCTTGGCCATACCAACCGAGCTGATCGCGCAATCAAACACCGGAAGAAGTTGGGATCCCGGCGAGCTTGTGCAGTTATTCGAACACGCTTCGCAACCCCGTTCCGCAACCACAGTCGGGGACGTGGAAAAATTTGAAGTCTGCCGGGATCCGAACTTCAAGAAATTGTTGGACGGCGAGTTTGGCAGACAGGTGTGTATCTCCCACGCAATTTCGCCAAGTTCGGATCCCGGCGAACTTCAGGTTCCTGATGGCCTGTGGATCCGAACCTCGCTCGCACTGTTCCTTGCACAATCGTCAAGTCCGGACCTCGGCGAACTTCGGATTCGTGATAATGCGAAGTCCGCCGGGATCCGGACTTCTCCTGCACGGTTTCTCGCACAGACGTCAAGTCCACACCCCGACGACTTCGCTTTTCTCATTGTGCGGGTTCAGAATGCGGACTTTCTAGCGCCCGGGGGATTGGCATAACTTTTTATTTGAAAAAATGTGAAGTCCGCCGGGATCCGAACTTCAAGAAATTTTTGGACGGCGATTTTGGCAGACAGGTGTGTATCTCCCACGCAATTTCGCCAAGTTCGGATCCCGACGAACTTCAAGTTCCTGCTGGCCTGTGGATCCGAACCTCGCTCGAACTATTCCTTGCACAATCGTCAAGTCCGGACCTTGGCGAACTTCGGATTCGTGATAATGCGAAGTCCGTCGGGATCCGAACTTCTCCTGCACGGTTCCTCGCACAAACGTCAAGTTCGCACCCCGGCGACTTCGCTTTTCTCATTGTACGGGTTCAGAATGCGGACTTTCTAGCGCCCGGGGGATTGGCACAACTTTTTATTTAAAAAAATGTGAAGCCCGCCGGGATCCGAACTTCAAGAAATTCTTGGATGGCGATTTTGGCAGACAGGTGTGTATCTCCCACGCAATTTCGCCAAGTTCGGATCCCGACGAACTTCAGGTTCCTGCTGGCCTGTGGATCCGAACCTCACTCGAACTATTCCTTGCACAATCGTCAAGTCCGGACCTTGGCGAACTTCGGATCCGTGATAATGCGAAGTCCGCCGGGATCCGGACTTCTCCTGCACGGTTCCTCACACAGACGTCAAGTTCGCACCCCGGCGACTTTGTTTTTCTCATTGTGCGGGTTTAGAATGCGGACTTTCAAGCGCCCGGGGGATTGGCACAACTTTGTATTTGAAAAAATGTGAAGTCCGCCGGGATCCAAACTTCTCTCGCACGGCTCCTCGTTCAATTGCCGAGTTCGCCGGTTGTTTCTTTCCCGCACGGTCTTGCCAAGTTCGGACCCCGCGAACACCAGGTTCCCGTCTGCCCTCCTGTGGATCCGGACCTCGCGTGCCCGGTTCCCCGCACATTCGGCAAGTTCGGAACCCGACGGACTTTGGATTCGTGAAAATGCGAAGTCCATCGGGAACCGAACTTCTCGCGAACGGTTCCTCGTACACTCGTCAAGTTCAGAACCCGGTGAACTTCGTGTCTCGCATGGTGTGGGTTCTGACTGTGAGCTTTGTCGCACCCGGGCGTTTGCCACAACTTTTGTTCCACAAAAATGCGAAGTCCGTCGGGATCCGTACTTCTCGTGCAAAGGTTCGTCGTCCCATCGTCGGGTTCACCGGCTGTGTATCTCCCGCGCGGTTTCGCCAAGTTCGGATCCCGACGAACTTGAGCTCTCCTCCTTTCGCAATGCATGTGGCAGGAGATGTTCCGGCTGGGCCGTGGATCCGAACCTGCCGTGCACGGCTCCTCAGACAATCGTCAAGTTCGGATCCCGACGGATTTCAGATTCCATAAAATGCGAAGTCCGCTAAGATCCGAACTTCTCGTGCACGGTTCGTCGGACAATCGTCAAGTTAGGACCCTGGCGTACTTCACCTTTCGCGTGGTGCGGGCTCTGACTGTGGACTTTCGGTTCACGACGTCGTCCCAGGGGATCCCCGAATGGGTGGCCAGATTTGGTGATAGCAGGTCGGGTTCGAAACTATTCGTTGTGGCGTGAGGTTGAGGAGAAAGCGTCTGACATACAGGACTGTATAGGGAATTCCTTGGCACGACCGGGAGTGTTTGTTAGGATGAGATACATGTCTGTTTTTTCGGAGGGTGCATCGATCGACGAACCGCAGATCCGCGTATATGGATCGTCACTGAATGCTTTGTATGGCTTCGGTTCACGACGTCGTCCCAGGGGATCCCGAATGTCGCCACATCCGAACCGGTCGTCGGTCCTTCTGTTTGAGGGAAAAGAATGGCGAGGGACGAGATGCGGTTCTGCTACCTGAAATGTCAGATTTGTAGGACAACAGAGAAGTGTGAGAGGCCGTGGTACCGCGCGCTTGTCGTGCAAATCCCTGGTCGTCGTTCAGTTCGACGACTGATGAAAGTCATGTTGGACGTCCATCTCTCACGCCGTCTCCTTCCATGTCGTGCCCCGACGAAGTTCGGATCTCGGCGAACTTCGCATTCTGGCCTCTGCGTTAATTTGTCTTTGGTGTTATTGGCGTCGGGCGGACCGCGGCAGCCACCCGGCACCGCGGAAACAGAACATAGTCGTGATCGGTTTTCGCCCAACCACCATCAACATGTGCCAAACAGTCGATCACTGTCGTTGCGAGATGCCAAAAAAACTCTTAGGGATCCCCTTCGCAAGTTCGCGCGAGCTTCGCGTTTCCTGAAACCCGTTGGAGATCCCGGTTTGCGGACCCTCTTGTTGCAGATCCCTTGGACACCTTGCTAGGACACCTTGCTAGGACCCCAACTTTCTGTTTATCTCTCTCTCAGCCTCCTAAAGTTCGGATCCCGGCGAACTTCCTGTGACGCCTGTGTATTGAGCAGGCGCTGGTCTTGATGATCCCCCATGGATTGCGACACGAGCCAGCCCTGATCCACACCTGCCCCTCTAGGGACTCATAAAATGTTGTCACGGCTGCTGCGTTCGAACTTGGCTTCATCCAATGCCAAGCTGCGCATATCAGAAGAAGTTCGGATTTCGGCGAACTTGTCCTTCTCAACCGGCCTTTTGTGCGAGTGCTGCCTTTCTGGGTCGTGGTTTAGTCCACGAACCGTGTTTCTCTGACCCCGTCTCTGCCTGTCGCATCGTCCTGAAGTTCGGATCCCGGCGAACTTCACGTTTAGGTGGGTGCGTTGATTTGTCTTTGAACAGACACACCCTGTGGTTCGCACAACCCGCCCGGCGACGTGGAGAACCCGTCTCCGACTTCAGGTTTTGCTCAAATGTTGTTGCGGAGTGTGTTCGCTCGAGCACGGTTCTGGAACGCTGGCTGCGTGGGTTGGCTGTCTCTCTCTCTCTTGCACCCCATCTTTTAGTACGGATCCCGGCGAACTTCGCGTCCTAAACTGTCCGGGTTCCGAATGATAAGCGGAGGACACTGCCCCGTCCAACGCGAGCTTTGTGCATCACCTCCCATCCATTCCCGACCCGGTCGATATCCGTGTTTCGAAAACACGAACGTGGTCGACGCACGGCTGCATGAAGCGCGTGCCCTTGTGAAGAATGATCTCATTGCCGGTAAGATGTCATTGGTGGTCTTCGCGTTAGAAGTTCGCTGGGATCCGAACTTCGAGGTCCTCGAATGGCGTCATGTGACCGGCGTCTTGAGGGCAAGGTGTGCCTCTTGTGTTTTTCGCCTGCGTTGTAGTTTGACTGCGACTTGACGCTCACTTGTGTTTTATTTGTTTTCCGTTGTCGTCCGCAAACAATGTCTTCGTCCAGGGGCGAAGGGGAGCCTGCAGCGACCTCCGGGATGGGATCTGGGAAGGATTCCACAAAACGGTCGTCTACGACCTCGAGGTCGTGGTCCGACCACGCTAGGTCGAAATGGTTCGTCGCGTAGTGCTGTGAGGATGCTTCAAACCCAGTGCAACAGCCGTGTGGTCCTGTGATCTTCGTCGAAGCCAACAAGCGGCGTAGGGTTCTGGGGGCTGTCTTGCGGTGGGAGAATGCGAAAGGCACTCGTCGACGGTTCTACATGAAAAATGTCTTCGGTGCGAAGGGGAACGTCGTTGCCAGTGCCAAGGGGGCAATTCTGGACATGTGTTTGTTCGAGGGGTTCAGAGCGGGTGCTGCGAACACCCCGTTCTACAACGACCTCCGGCGGCGGGGCGGGTTTGTTTTGGGTCGAGAGTTCTTTGAGTTGTTGGAGGACAAGAACATCGCCCTCGACGTCCCTTGCGAAGTTGGTCCCGACCTCGAACTGTCAATGCCTTTGCAGTTGTGCGGCGGTTGTRARTCKAGCGGGGCAGCGGGGGAGGGGGGGGATCTGGGTTCCGGGGAGGCTACACATGTGCAGCGGGAGGATGCCAGAGGTCAGTTTGACGACAGCGAAGATGAGGCGACACCGCACCCGCCGTTTTCACCATCGAGGGAAAGAGACAGGTCCGTGCTATCCATACCTAGGGTCCGGCAACAGACCGCAGCGGATCGCGGAGAAGAGGGAGTCCTGTGAGGGTCCGACTTGGAGCCTGCCGAGGGCCATGGCGCGGACGGCGAGGCCGTGGGCGGGGAGGGAGCGCAGGGCACTCCCCAAAAAAGGAGGGGAGATTGTCAAGAGGACTTCGTGGGCTCTTCGAAGAAACAGAAGACCAAGGCCCCGAAGACTGCGGGAGAGAAACGGAAGGGGAGGGGGGTGGACGAGGACCACCGGGGTAACAAACGTCCGGCTTCGAAACAGAAACAGCCTGCGTCGGGACCTTCTACCCCACGGCCTGCCATCGACGTGGACGCCGGGTACTTCCTAGAGTACAAAGACGGCGTCAGGACAAGGCGGGAGTTTGAGATCAGCCCGGCTCAGATCGTCGACATAGGGGAGTGGGAGGATCTTTACAACCAGCGGTCGCTGGATCCCGTCCTCGTGGAAATGATAAGGGAAGCAATGCGGTCTGCGTTCGAAAATAAAGAACAGACGTACGAGTTATCGATCTTCAAGCTCGCACCACTGGGCCTTCAAAAACCAACTCCTGGGACCAAGTCACAACGTCTGAAGCCGGAGGAGTGGAAGGACGAGCTGGCGGGAGAATACTACTACTACGCGGTGTGTGGGCAGCATAATGCGGCTGCAGCCAGGTCACTGCTAGGCAGCGAGGTGGCCAAGAAGTACAATTTCGAGCGGTGGCCGACACGGATGGTCTACTTTTCTGACGACGACTTCGAAGGGTATTTTCTTCTTAGTTCACAGGACAACAAGAAGGACCTCAAGGCACCTCCCAGACAGTTGAAACTTTCTATGAAAGACATCCGGTGGCAGTGGAAGCATGACGGCTGCCCAAGAGCTGTGATGGGGAACCCTAGCGGAAAACAAGATCAGGTCCGGGATTGGCGTAAGTTTTGTACAACGGCGCTCCATAAGGCGCCTCAAAACAGCTTGTGGCTTCTCGCGGATCAAAAGGAAGAGGAGGCCATTAAGAAGCAAAATGCTGCCCTGCGTTCTTACTTCCCTCTCGCGATGGCCGGGGAAAATGTCTGGAAACTGGCCATGGAATTTTTTGACAACTGGGAGACGGCAGATTGTTGAGCCACGACAGGGCGAAGTGGATCGTCGAAAAGAAGAAGGTCAAAAACGTCAAGCCTAGGGCCGCCTACATCCACAACGACAAATTGGGCAGAACGGAGGTGGTGTACAACGTCCCCGTGGACTCGCCGAATAAGAAAGGCAAAAAGGAGAAAGAGGAGGGCGATTGGTTCGTGCAAGTGCCAGACCCAAATGCGCATTGTTGGAAAACAATGGAATCACTCACGGTCAATGAGAAGTGTCGCATTCTAAAGAAGGTGCTTGCTTGCGAGGTCGTTTAGGTCCAGGTCGGATCCCCGTCATTGGCGAAGTTGGGAAAACTCAGCGTGCAGGACATGGTGCAATTGGTGAAGTGTGACCGCGTGTTGGTCCAGATGTGGAATTACTACCAATTCAAGCACGAGAAGAGGCCGGACGCGGACTGGATCCAAAGGTACCCTTTCCTGAAATCGAGGTCTGCCGTGTTCAAGAAGTTTGAAGGTCAGGGATTGGATGACGAGTTGTGGGATAACAGCAGGAAACACGTTTTCGACTCGGCGTTGTTCAAGGACTGCCCGTCGTACATGGGTTGCGACCAGGACTACTCGATTGAGGTGACGGAGAAGTTGGCGGGCCACAAGAAGTTGTCCATCGACTGGAGAAACAAGGTCCTCTCCGTGTTGAATGGAAGCAGACTGAAGAGCCGGGAAGTTGCACTTGTCAAAGACATTGTTCACATTAAATGGAAAGACACGGGGGACGTGACATCCATCGCGCCGTTCGCCAACGACCCTTTAGAGGCGGACATCAGGGGCTCAGAGCTGAAGGAGACAGTGACTGTCACAATGAGCCACACGTTCGTCCTCGATCTGTGCGAGCCGGTTGACCTCAAACTGTGGAAGCCCCAAGCGTGGGAGACTTCGAATTCCTATCTTCAGACGTGGTGTCCCTCGCATTGGACTCTCGTTGTTTTCGTGCCGCGGCAGCACAACCTGTCGTTTTTCGCCAGCATGCACCATCTTTCTTTCGTCAAGCTGTTGGAAGGGAAGTGGGTGCGGAGAGTGCAGCAAAAAAAAAGCTTCCCCGTTGGGAACAATTTGTATACGGAGGAAGACCGCATGTACATCCTCTTTAAGGGTGACGATCTGCGCGTCAACATGTACATGGTCTACGAGGGAAACCTGCCCAGGGGTGTCGCTGTTGCGGTGCGATTGCCTCAGAGGGTCACCCAAACGGATGTGTCCGAGATTCCTTTCACGCCTTGCGACTGGTCGCTGGTGGCGCCGGAACGACAGGGCAGCGTCTACGGGGATATGGAACGCAATTCGACACAATTCGTCGGTCTTCTTGATTTTTTTGGCAAAAAAGGAGAGGGTGTCATGTTCCTTGGGAAACCGCACGCGCGAAGCGTCTGGGAGCTTCTGAAGGCCGGTCGGCACGTTGTTGCAAAGGAAGGGAACTCCGACCTCTTGCAATTCACGATGCAGGTGGTGAAAAGCGAGGTCAATTCGGGTGGGCACAATTGTGAGTTCATGGTCGTGAGGCCAACACGGGATAAGGTGTGGAGCAACAAGACGGATATGTGGTTCAAGTTGAGCGAGAGGAAGAGGAACAAGATATATGATTTCTTGTTCCTTCAAATGCGTCCGAGGAGGGACACTGACGCCGAGTACGTCCGCCGGAAGGACCACATGTTGGCACTGCTCAACAACTACCACTTCGCCTCCCGCATGAACGCGAAGACGTTTATCGAAAGGTTGCAGTCGCTGTACTTCGTGGAGTCCGAGGAGCAGTTGAAGTTAGCTAGTTACGCTTCCCTGATCTCCACTTGTGACGAGGAAGCCATAGGTGTGGAGTTTGCCGCCAACGTGAAGGAGGAGGAGAGCGACACGGAGAGCATCGACCTGCAGTACGACCCGCCTCCGGCGTACCACGGCTGAGGGTCCTCGTCGGCCGGTCCGTCACCAAGCGTTGCAGCCCTTGTGTCACCATTGGCCAAACCGGCGCCGGGCACCATGCCAATGAAGTTGCTGGAGAGACTTAGAGCTCTGGCCGTCCCCCCGCCCGCTTTGCGTCCCGGGTCCGACATCCCACCCGATCATCCGTCTTGGAAGGATGACAACATCTCAACGTCATTCACCTAAGTTGGACTGGGGCCGTGACATGGTTTGGCATCCGGAAGTCATCCAACCAGCGATACGAAAGGGCGAGTGGGTCATGGCCGTTGCAATCCCACGCGAGTCGAAATCCAACTTCCTGCACCTCGCGAGGATATCGGTCCTCCAGAAAGTGACGGTCGAAAATAACACTTTAGCACCCGGCGACCTATCCCTCATTTCCACTGCCGGTCGACTGTTCGACGAGCTTTAGGACAAGTGCTAGTTGGAATTGACGGAGGACTACTACGAGCTCGACACGAGTCCGTCGAAGGGCGTGGTGGACTGGAAAGTGCCGCCTCCCAGTGGGTCGGACGATGGTTCCGGGGGGGGGTGGTCACCTGGAAGCGGAGGGGATGGGGGTGGCGGCGTGGGGGGTGGCAAAGGAATCCCGTCTATGGGGGAGAGAGGGTCTCACGGCCGCAACATGACACCGGGAGGCAGCGCCGGGGTGGCGGGTTTTGCCATCGGCCAGGCTCCGTCGACAGGCACCCGGCCCGAGCATACGACACACTCCGCCGACCCCCCGACTTCGTCCATGGGCTCAGCGAGGGAGACGTTGGCAGCCTTGGTTGCTCTGGGCAGTCGCTCGGGCGGAAAGCCGAAGTCCGCCGGGATCCGAACTACGTCGGGTGAGGAGCCGCCAGAGCGGTCCGGAATGCGAAGCTGCTCGGGGTCGGGGGAGCCAAGCAAGGATCGAGAAATTGGCAGCATCGCGGCGCGGGACGGAGACGTCGGAAAGGTGTCGCCTGAGCGGGAGCGACGACTGCAAGGATTGCAGCGGGAGGCTGCAAGTGCAAGGTCCGGCGACACGGAGACCACGAAGTCCGCCGAGAGCCAAACTTCTTCGAGCGGGGTTTGTCGGCCAAGGATTGTCGTGCCGTTGAGAGGGGCAGCGTGCACGGGGACGGAAGGGCGGTCCTCAGGATTCAGCGCGGGTACCACGGAAGGGGACGAGTTTCGTGGAAGGGACGTAGGGGAGAAAATGGAGGAACAAAAGGGAGCGCAAGAAGGGGAGGAAGAAGGGGAAGAAGAGGTGAAAGGGGAGGAAGCGGGAGAAACGGAGCTAATTGATTTGTTTGAAGGAAGGGAGGGTGCCGGGTCTGGAGAAGACGAAGTGGAACACAGTGAGGACGATGTTGGATCTGGAGAGTCGTCTGACGAGTTCTGACAACTGTACGTAGAGCATCACGAGGATGATGTCGACGACGATGCCACGGCAATAGAGATGGAGACACAGGTGGTCAACAGCCTTTCCGCAGAGCCTGAAGATTATGCGGTCTGGCCACTAACCTCTGCTGTCGACTTGCAACACCGGTTCGATGAGGCTTCCGTCGCTATTAGCCCGTCTAAAACAAGTCGGCGTATAAGCATCGACGAAGTTATCGAAGGTATCCTCGGCGACCACAACGTGTCTGCCCGTCCGTCTGCAATGCCTGGCGTCGACAAAACTGCCAACGTCGCATCTTCCGTGGCAGCTGCCCTCGCAACGCCTGACGTCGACGAAACTGCCAACGTCGCATCTTCCGTGACAGCTGCCCTCGCTTCGTCGCTGCCGAAGTCTCTCTATTTCGGATTGCAGCAAAAGATCTCCTCACCCTCTTGCATGTCGGCGGCAGGGTGAATGATGAGGTGGTCAATTTCTATATGGCGTTGTTGGGGTCGACCGCATGTGGGTCACGTGACATCTCGTCAGGCTTTCAAGTCTTCAGTAAACTGCGACTTCAAGGACACGGTGGGGTGCAGAGGAGGGCTAACAACGTAGATTTGCTTCGTTACGATATTATTTTTGTTCCTATCCACAAAGATGATGATCACTGGATCCTCCTTTCCATCAACATGAGAGATGATGTTCTGGAAATTTTTGATTTTTTTCCTCACATTGTAGCTGATTCTAGTATTTACCTTAGTGTTTTCGGGTTGACTGTGCAATATTTGGAACGTCAAACATCACATAGGCGGTCGGGTAGGAATTGGAACTCCATAGTGGGAAATGTTGTGGTGGACGGAGTTCCGAGACAAGTGGATGGAGCAAATTGTGGTGTGTTCATGTTGATGTATGCGACGTTGTTGCAACGTGGAGATTGACCGCCTTTTCGGTTCTCTTGTAAAGATATTCCGCTTCTTAGATGACAATTAGCATCATGTATCTTAGAACATCGTTCTCTTGATGACTTTGATTGACTTCGAAACTTTTTTTTCAGGTGTTTCATTCATTGATCATTAAATTTAGTAAATCGAGATATTATTCAATTGTCCTTCTGCCAGAGGCATTGCTTTCTTTTATCGTTCCGAGTTTGCATCGTCTACGGCAAGCTCATTGCATGTCGTGCGTCATGTATGAGCTTTGTAATCTTTGTCACGTAATGTTTCATGTTCCGAATTCTGTTCAACTTGAAGTATTGTGTTCCATGTTTCGAATTCTGTTCAACTGGAAGTGTAAACATGATTGTGAAACTGGTTGGTGGATGAATGAGAAATCTCATCTTATGTGAAATTGGTCAGTGGATGCCCAAACCTTCTTTGCATGATTATTTAAAATGCGGATATTCATCGTGAATGAGCACAATTTAAAGTTCTACACTTGTACATAGAATATCGAAATTAAGTGGTTATTGAAATACACCTTGCCCATCACAACTGTAAACAAGTATGAATCTCGGTGCCCTCATGTCGAGCGAGATGATGAGCGTGCCTATATGCGAAATTTACGCAAACACACCCATCGTCTCACCCGAGACGAATTGTTTGGATGTTGAAGAGATTCGGACTTATGCAAGCACACCCGTCGTCTCACCTGAGACGATTGTTTCGATGTTGAAGAGATTCGGACTTAGGGATAACGTAGTAAACGAAAATTTCATGTATTGACCAACAACGGTTCAATCAGGACACCTTGCTCATCACATACGTAAGCTTTGAGTTTAACAACTATGGATCTCGGCACACTCCCGCCCATTGCCAGGGTCACAAGTCTTATAAAAACAAGTCCAGATCTCATCATACATCTAAACAACCGTCTTCAACAAGACGATGAACCTGCATGTATAACTTTGTGAATTATACTCTCCAATTCTATCTAATTACATTGCTAATTTTGTTTACGAAGTTCAACAACTATGGATGTCAGCAAACTTTCGCATTTGGGGCGAGTGGGTCGGCATGCCCATGTACAAACACTGCAGTCAAAAATGAATTCATAAGAAAGAGGACAGTGTCACAATATAGTTACTGTATCTTTCGTCACATTTATGAAATAGAAGTTTGACAAGTAAGGATACCGACACACTTCCACACAGGGTTCCGTTTGGCGTGCCAATCGTTGTTCGTTTATGAAGTTTGACTAGTATGGATCCTAACACACTTCCCCACAGGATCACCAACACGTTTTTGAAGTTCAACAAGTAAGGATCCCAAAAACACTTCCACATTTAGGATTTCATTTACGAAGTTTCACAAGTATGGATCTCAACACGCTTCTGCATGTGGTTAAGCCCTGGATGGGCATGCCTACGTTGCTTAGGCTGCAGCCAAAAATTAATGTTTAGGAAGAGGACACAGTATAATGTCCTATTTTAACGAATAACGTGTTGAATGCACTTTGACAGCTGTAAGGTGGTGCTCACATCGGCCCATCCCAAACCCCAAACGATACCAATAAGGCTGGCGGTGGGCATGCGCACCCAGCCGCCGCCTCGCCTCACCACGAAAGTCCATCAAATCAACATGATCCGACGCCTGTCACCAGGCGAAAATGAACCCTCGACGGAAACTGACGAGGCTGATGTACCCGACCGATATCCGATCCGAGTTCGAGATCGGTGGTGCCATTCTTGGCGGCGATAACCTTTGAAAATAGTTCGGAGCGAGTCCAACCGGTCGCACGCGTTCTCCTCCGTGGTGCAGGGGGAACCCCTGCTGAGGGTGTCCCAAATAGCTACCCTTTCAGAACCCCATGCGTCCTTATATCTCAGGACGGACCCCCTACCTGAAAGATTTACCGAGCTGAGGGGGCTGTGCGATTTATCTTTTCGACCCCCACGGCCCCTACTCACGAATGAAAAAGCCGCGATACTCCTGAAAGAGGGGGTGTCGCTTCAACCCTGAACAAGGGAGTATCGGTGGGGACAGAGGGAACTGGCGCAGACCTTTTTGGTAGAACCCTCGGCCGAACCCGAACTGGATAGTGACAGTGACATAGAAAGCAAGCCGATGAGTCCGGCGGACAGTCAACTCATTGCGACTGTCCTTTCGGCGAAAACCGACAACTCCTTGTTTGGGGCCTCGCCCGATGCCAGCGCGGCGGTCCCCACGGTTACGACGACAGTCTCCCTTCCTGGGGGAACCGTGGAAGTTCAGTTACCAACCCATATTCCGGATGAATACAGACGCCTCCTCCTGACGGTTATACGGGCCTATCCTGAGGCCGTCAGTATTCAGGACCACGACATAGGGCTAACCCTTTTGATATAGCATGCGATTGATACCGGGGATCACGTCCCGATACATTGTCGACCGTACCGATATTCCCTTAAAGAAAGATAGCTGGCTTTGGAAAGGGTACGGGAATTCGAGCGGTTGAGGTGGGTCGAACCATCGCTGGGACCGTGGTCTTTTCCCGTGGTCCTCGTGCCAAAACGAAATGGTTCGGTCCGGGTATGTATCGACTACCGGAAATTGAACGCCATCACTACCAAAGATGTGTATCCCTTGCTGCAAATTGATGATTTGTTAGATGCTATCGGGGCCGCTCGAGTCTTTTCCAAGTTCGATATCCGACACGGTTTTCACCACGTCGCAGTCCGACCGGAGGACCGACCCAAAACCGCTTTTGTCCTATTTGAGGGCACGTGGCAATGGGTACGGTGTCCCATGGGAATTTGTAAAGCCCCTGCAACGTTTCAGCGGGCCATGAATATGGCCTTCGCTGAGTTCGTTAACAAAACCCGACTAACCCAGCCCCTGATCAATTTCTACGTGATTGTGTACATGGATGATATTTTGGTCTTTTCAAAAACACACGAGTACCACGTGGAACACATTGAGTGGGGTTTGCATGCACTGAAAGATGCGGGGTTCAAAGTGGCCTTGGAGAAAAGCGAGTTCTTCTTGTCGGAGATCTCATTCTTGGGGTACATCGTCATGGTCGATGGACTAAAACCGGATCCGAGGAAGGTGGCAGCAGTTCAAGAAGCCTCGGCGTCGGTCACACTCACCCAGGTTCGGGCTTTTCTAAGGCTGACATCCTATTACCGACGCTTCATCAAGGGGTTCGCCGACATAGCAAAGCCCCTCACGAACCTGCTGAAGAAAGAGGAATAACTTATCTGGACGCCGGAATGTGAAGCGGCGTTTCAGGCGCTAAAGGAGGCTCTGACATCTGCTCCTGTGTTGGCGCGCCCCGACCCGACGAGACCATTCGCACTGTACACAGACAGGCAGCCTCAGGCGATATCGGCGGTGCTGACTCAGCACGGGAAGGACGGAAGGGAGCATGTCATTGAGTATGCGTCCAAGACGCAGAGCCAGGCGTAGGGTAATGACGAAGCGTGCAAAGGTGAATGCCTAGCGGTGGTATGGGGGATCTAGCATTTTCGACTGTATCTTTACGGTCAGAAATTCGTGTCGGTAACGGATCATCAGCCGCTGTTGTCCCTACGCAACAACACGGACTACACGGGGACGCTGGGCAGGTGGGCGGTGCGTCTGCAAGACTATGACTTCGACATCCGCCACCATGCCACACGGCAGCATGGCAACGCCAATGGATTGACACGCCTCCTGCCGCCCAACAAGTGTCCCGCCAACGAGCGACTTATTCCGTGGAGGCCAGAAGCCACGACTACGAAACCGCACTACGGGGAGCTACACGTGCTGCGCAAGAACAACGCCTGAATCCGGAATGGAGGTTTCGTCGGAGATGGACGACGCAATCTCTTTGCCCTCATCCAACTCCCTCGCTCTCTCGTCTAGCCCCAACTCGTCCCCTGAAACACATCTCAGCCCTTGTTTCTTTTGTACCTTGCCTATGACCCCGGATCAAGAAGGGTCACATCCGGGAGGGCCCAGTTTTCTTTTATGGGTACAGTGTAGTCAGTGTCATACAGTCAAATCTCACGGACAGTGCGTTAGGTACCGAAGTGAAAAGACTTGGGTCTGTCCCAACCAGCGTTGTCATGCGGGGATCCCCGGGGCCCAAGCCGGGGTAGGGGTTTCAACCCCGGAACCCCGCCGCGGGGCTACCCGACCCCCGCCCCCGCAAAAACAACCCCGGCCCTG